CACTGTCAGGATCAGCAGCTGCACTTTGCTCTGCTTCGTAGAAATATACCATCTAAAAACTGAGTAATACAAAAAGTACCATACAGCCTAGCCGAAAGAAGTACTTATGTAATTCTAGCCACAGTTAGTTCGCAGATAAAACAGAAACCGAGCACTGAGGTGGTACAGCAGCGATGATCGCATATTTCAATAAGCTATGGTGAATGCCTGATTTTTGCAAAAAAAAAAAATACTGATTTAGTGTTTTTAATGACCTTGTAGCTAACAAGAGCTTGCTGAAATTCCAGAACGAAGCTCACAATCTTACAGAACGCATCTAAACGACTAATGTACTCTGCCAGGCCCTATCACCCTCTGACAGCTGCTTCCAGTTGTAAACCCGCCATATTCACCACGCATATGCACCAGTATTTCTGAGGTAGTCTTGGCAGTTGTCTCATTTCCTCCTGCCTCTTCCAAGTATTACCACTTAACATACCATATAAACATTAATTTTTGAAAAAAAAAATTACTCTAATGTACCCATGCAAAGACTACGCTACCAGATTTTCCGAGATATGAGCTTGTTTTGGTGAAGACCAAGTCAGATGAAATCAAAACTTCAGCTCAATTAACGCATATGCGTAGCACAAAGTAGAAAATGCCCAGAACAGACCTCAGTACTTCCAACAATGAGCTGATTGTTTACTTCGCTGAAACTCCAACAATCACGCAAGCAGCCCTTCGCATCGTGCTCAACCTTCAACAGACCATGAGGCAACTTCATTTCTCGACACAATTTTTTCAAAAAAATCTTCTAGGTTAAAGAATTAACCGATTTGAAAATTAATAACTAGCGCAAAACTGCATGTAGCTCAATGACTAAAGAAGTTAGCTCTTTTTAATTCATTCAAAGCCAATTCGGAAAGCACGCATTTACATCAAAATCCAATAGTACATCCAGCTAGACAAAGCGAAGAGGGGAGGAGAGGGGGGGAGGGGGTAATCACTACCTCCATCCCTAATGAAGCGTCAAAATCGTTTGCAAATGGAAAAATGCACTGATCTGAGGCATGCTTAATTTATCTAAAAAGACACAGCTGAGAAAAGACGGGAGGGAACGTGAAAAATATGAAAAATCAAAAACGGGAAAAAATTATCTAAAACGGTGCACACCAGTCCAAAAAGCATTAAAACTGCTTAGGACAGGTCAGCTTTGCTGTAAAAAATTAAATGCTTCCAGCGCTGCCAAATTTTCCAATAAAAAACTAAAAAATTCCGAATTTAGCGTAAGGCGCAGGAACT